CCTTTATTGCACGTATCCCATAAGGGCTAATGGGTTGGCAATCTCTTCCTATGGCTGGGAAACCATTCGTTTTTCAGAGACAAGCTTGACGTTTGGTTGGAGTTGTGAAAGCCCCCAAGCTGTTGTTCTTTAACGAGCAACAACACAAGAACAAAGAGAGCTGCCCTCTCACAACATGCACCAAATTTACAAGTCAATTTTGTAATTCCTAATCGCATAAAAACATGAGCAATCAGGCAAGTATTGTCACCCAGTGGGTAACAAGCTGTCCCTTCGTGCTCACTTCCATTCCCCAATGGATGGATTATAACAGCCCAGAGAGTTTTACCAAATGTCTACAGCTCCTCTCATAGAAAGAGTGTGTCCAGTGCATGTGAAATGGATGAATAAACAGCCAGCTCCAGTTTGCCTTTGTTATGGGATTACTCTGAGTCAGAATCCACTCCATGGCAGTGAGTGAGTGGTGCTAAAATCATGGATCCCTGATAACACAGTGTTTACATGAGGGGCGGCTAATCTCATGGTCAGCAGTTCAAATCACCCGGCCTGCACTATCCTCACAACTGTTCTTGTATTTGAGCCCCTTGTTGCAGGCACAGTGCCGACCCATTCTTGTCAAGGCTCTCTGTCATGTTTGCTGCCCCTCCACTTTCCCAAGCAGGCTGCCTTTCTCCGGGGACCCCTCTCTCAGCAACATGTCCCAAGTACTTGAGAAGTCTCGCTACTCTTGCCTCTGCTGAACATTCTGATTGTATTTCTTCCAAGACATTTGTTTGTGTTTTGGCAAGCCATGGCACGATACTCTTCACCAACACTAGAGGTCAAATGCATCCATTTTTCCTCAGTCTTCCTTATTTGCTGTCCCAACTTTCACCAGCTTATGAGGTGATCAAAATCACCAAGGCTTGGGTCAGGGGAATCTTTGTCTCAAAGTCACATCCTTGCTTTTCACCGCTTCCCAGAGGTCTTGTGTAGCAGGTCGACCTAAACGCATGAGGTATGGCACTCCTGTCCTTAATTAGTAGCTTCTTTTTGAAAGAGCCCTGATGATAAAGCAGCAACCGGCACTCCGCCGGAGGGAGATGTGGCAGTCTGCGCCCTTAGGGACTACTAGACCCACTGAAACCCAGTGCGGGCAGCTCCACTAGTCACTATGGATTGGAATCAACTCCCTGGCAGTGGAGTGCCCATTTCTCCAGGGTCCTAAAGGCATGAGTTTCTCTGGGCAGACTGACCACCTGCAGGCGTAGGCTCTCACGCAGGGGTCACATAGAGCCAAGGTTGCTCCCCAGGCACTGAGGTGCTACAATGATTTGGTTGAAAGTGCCCAGAGGTGAGAGCAGTGATTGGGGTGGGGCCGGGGGCGGGTGAGAAGTCTGTGCTCAAGCTGGTCTAGGGTGGCTTTGCTGGAGAGGATGTATGGGGGGCAGGGGAAGTGCACCTGGCATGATGACTGTCTGCCCCAATGAGAAAGGAGCACAGACAGACCAGTATCAGCAGAAACAGAGTTCATGTTGACGCTGTGAAGTATTGGTGCTTTCGAAGTAAAACCCACTCTCCCAGCATCCTATTCCAATGAACTACTCAAGAGGAAGTCCAATGATCCATCGCAATCATTCACCAGGATGGGTGAATCTAAAGAGATAATAAGTAGAGTAGGGATTTCAGGGGGAGGGGGGCACAGCAGGGGAGAGGGGAGAGGTAAGGAGGAGCTTCTATCAAGGAGTACAAGAAGGGAGAAGTTTGGAAACTGATTGTGGAGCGATTGCACAACACTTCTTGATATGACTGAGTTGTTGAACGGTAGGATGTCTGAGTGATGTCCTAAAGAGTGGTTTGAGATAAACGAAAAAGTAACAGCTAGAGGATATAACTTTTGGAGGATGGTACGGTTGCCACCTGACCAGCCATTTATAGACTACTTTTGTGCAACCAAAAGATAACGTCTTTGGCCAAAATTTGCCATTAAGAAGGCCGGTTATGGCTCGTGAGAGGTTGGGCTTGTTTTTTGTTTTGTTTTGTTTTTAATGGCTCAAAAGATCTCTGCAAATGGAGATCATTGCTATGGTGCTGTGTGCACAGAGACAGAGAGACAGGACTTTCCTAATCACCTAATCACAATATTTCAGGGATGGTGGTGGAGTAGAAGGGAGATGATGTCCAGGGATCCATTTAGAAAAAGATTGTTTGAAAACTGATTGTGGTGGCAATTGTACAGTTTCAATTGATGTGATTGAAATATGGAACGATATATGTATTAGATCCCAACTAAGAAAAATGAACACATTCACCCCTCCCCCCCAAAAAAGTATTCCAAAGTATAAGGGGGTGAATGTAATGCAATTTACATTCTGGCATATTTCCATATGCATGAAAATGGCACTGTCTTGTACCTCCTGTATAAAACTAAGATTACTGTCTAGTTCTCAGGACAGGAACTTTCTTTCTCTTAGGATGATGATGATTTTATATTTATTTGTAACTTAGCATGCACACACACAGCCCTTTCTGAGACCAATGGCTTGCATTCCCAGGCCAGCCAGGTGGGCAGACTCATGGAACACAGCCTCATAAACATGTTGACTCTGAGGGAATTGACCCTATGACTTTGATAACATTAACATCAGATATTGTTAATGCTATCTATCCTGGGAATCTGAGTCCCTCTTGAATGTCAGAGGGACTCACTTCCTGATGACACTGATACCTGGTTTGTCATGGAGATATGCAACCAATCATTCTGCCTAAAATTTCCCATGACATTAAGGGATAGAAATAATTTTAAGACAGCATAGGTTTCTAATAATTCTCAACTTATTTTTAGGACCTGTGGATGTTAATATTCTGGCTAAGTGCAACCCCTGTTTATCAAATCCATGTAAAAACGACGGCACTTGCAACAACGACCCAGTCGATTTCTATCGATGCACCTGCCCGTACGGCTTCAAGGTCAGTAGACGCTGTTGCAGGAGCGTTAGCCTAAAAACAGAGCTTTTCACTGTGTGCTCTCACAATTCTGTGGTGATGTCGCCGTGTACTGAGAATGGCTGTGTTCATACTAAATATTCCTTGTCCATTCCTTCTCCAGGGGCAGGATTGCGATGTCCCGATCCATGCGTGCATCAGTAACCCATGCAAACACGGGGGGACTTGTCACTTGAAAGAAGGAGAACAAGATGGATTCTGGTAGGTTCCTGGCATTCGCCTTGAGCTCCTCTTCCTGAAGTATTGGGTGAAGAATAACTAAGCACACTGTCTTTTGTTTTTTTTCTTTTTTTCACATCAAAGGACACTATATGTGAAAAGAGCCTAAGCTAGATAACAACACTGTATTGTCTGAGTAAATGTTCTCTGTTTTAGCTCTTCGGGTGGTAATACCCATTGCAATGACTACACAGAACTCAGACAAATGTCACTGTTAAAAGTGTCTATTCAGGAAGTTAACAGTTGTAATAGAAGTCAGAAATACTCAGACTAAAGTTGTTTATCAGGACACATCACAAAATTCGTTCAGGTCTGCTAATAAATGCCCAATGGGGCAGACCACTTCTCTGTAAGCCTCAACCCACAGGCATTCAGCTCTATGAGTTAGTAAGTTCAATGTCCCCAATTAAATACCCAGAGCTACCTCACTCCACAAGTCAGCCTCCTGCCCCAAAGCACTCAGCTGTACCTGCTCTGTGGGTCGGGAAGTTCAACACTCGTTTCCATCCTCTGGTTCTGCTGCTGCTCCTCTGATGGTACAGTTACATTCAAGATCTCAGGTCCTGAGCATGAACTCCCCTCCTGGCTCTTGCTGGTAATGAGATCCCTTCTCTTGCTTCTCAGAGGGCTCATTTTCTATGCAGCAGGATGCCACGCCAGGGGGTCCTGGTCACAATTGCTCATAGGCAAATTCTATAAGTATCTTCCCCACCTTCTTAAGAGACCATGCAGGAAAAGGTCATTTGGTAAGAGTTAGAGACTTTGGCTAAAAGAGCCATATTAAATAATTTACTGCTCCTGCAGACACTATTCGAGTAGTGATCTTAGAAATCTTGTGATGTTAAAAGTAAAAAACAAAACCCAAACTCGAATGGTATAGTAGTCTCAGCTCAGGAGTCTCCATAAGCCAGGACCTAAAACGCATGCACATATTTTGATCATTAATTTCTGATGACATCAGATATTATGGCAAGACAAAGTATTGGCTCAGTTATGCTTATTACTAGCCCCCTAGCCCCCTCCTACATGTCATACATTTATCTTCTGCTTTGTCTATTGCTTTAACAGACAGCATGCAAATGATACAATGTAGGTCCCTCTGAAATAGAAAATTAATGATTCTCTTTCCAATCTACAATATGAGTAGACAAACGTGCTGTGAACATTTTTAATCGGGAGTTATTTAATCATACAGTAAAATTACTGCAGATGTCCATCATGAATTATGAAATAGAGTTCTTTATTAAATCACACTAATAATTTCACATAAGAATGCTAATCTACTACTAAAGCTTGTTAGACCTGTCGCTGTTTAGAGGAAATATCTTTAGTTTCTGCATTCCATTATGGAATTATCTCCTTATTTTTATATAGACTTTAACCAAAAATTATTCTGAAACTGATTCAGGAGTGCACGTACAATGTCTGATGCCTGGGGGTCATTGTGTTTCTTCAGACTAAACATTCATATTTTATGATAATGCTTTGGAACATTCTTATTTCCTAATTTGGAAGAAGCTAACATTTTATTTGTTAATTTCTTTGTTGTTGTTGTTTCTGTTTCCAGACATAACACATAGGTAGAAAGGGTTTTCGTGTTTGCTTCGGCAGCACATGTGCTAACATTGGAAAGGGTTTTAATCTTCTAAGTACAGCCAGTCCCTCATCACTTGCGAGTCAAGAAGTCTGAATTATTTTATTAGAGCACAGAGAGAAACTAAAGGACCGAGAGCTGTGGCATAAGTTAGCTTGGTTGTGGACCTGGAAATATATTGAATTTATTCAATTGTAGGGTCACTAAGCCACTTGCTGTCATGTAGCCTATATATGTACTTTTTTTTCATAAATGAGTTTGGGTTTGGGAACGTTACCTTAAATACTTACAACACATTATTCAAACACATTTTTAAAAATTTACTTCTTGTTATTAAAAGCACCATAATTGATGACCGTACTTAGGCTTTTTTTTAATTTTGCATTATTTAAGTTAGTTATGTTTTAACATGCATCAGAAACCCATGTTTTTGCCTCTCCTCTCCCCAACTTGCAGGTGTATTTGTGCTGATGGGTTTGAAGGAGAAAATTGTGAAGTCAATATTGATGATTGTGAAGATAATGACTGTGAAAATAATTCGACGTGCGTCGATGGAATTAATAACTACACATGCCTTTGCCCACCTGAGTACACAGGTATGGAGGCTGAAAAGTGTCATGCCATCCATCAGTGTCTCTGTATGCGAGCACCCCAACCACCACATGTCACGTGTTTCGTAAAGCATTCATGGATGCTCTAACATGGGTGGCTTAGAAATTAGATGTAATATCAATACCTGAAGGACTTACAGATGGCTGCAGCCAACCAGACAGAGACCCGGCAAGCTGAGTTAGGATGGAGCCATCCATCATAAAATGTCCAGCAAAGAGAAGCAGTCAGACTGAAATGAGAGTTCCCACAATTGAATAATTGAATGGCATGTTGTGCAAAGCCTTCATTTCCCCTGTAAAAACCTATGCATGTACGCATGCATGTACACACACATACACAGTTGAGTCAGTTCCAACTCCAAATGACCGCCTATACAACAGAACAGAACACTGCCTGGTCCTGGGCCATCATGTCTGTCTGTCTGTCTGCGTATCTTTATGAGAAGGGGCTGCATGAAGCTGGTGGGAAAATGATATGAAGGATAATGGCCTTTTTTCATATTTATAGATTTTTAAAAATTTTCCTCATGTGGGTAGGGTGTGTGTGTGTGTGTGTGTTTGTATATGTTTGTGTGTGGATACACACACACACATATATACACACACACTCCTACATATACACACATATGCATGTGTGTATATATGTATACTTTAATTAAAAACTAACAGATTATCCCATAAAACGAATGTGACTTAGGTAATTTCCCTTGCTTCTTGAGAGATAACCCTTGAATTCCCCAAATAATGGACCATTTTAATACCTCCAGATGGCACCCAAAGGTTTGTGTAAATAAGTACCACCTCAGCAACCACTGAGTCACCTGAGTTAGCTGATCTCAGCTAGGTTAGCTGAGGGGCCTTGTTTCAATCACTGACAAAGTGGTTGAGTGAGCCAGTGGTTAATTTTCTATTCCACTCCCTCTCTTGAAAAGCTTCACTGTCAACTAGCCGACATTGACTCCTGGTGTTTTCATAGAAGCAGAAGAATCTCCCTGAAAGGATATAGAAGAGCTGCTCAAATTAACCCTGTTGTAATTTCTCCATGTGTACATACAGATACACATATTTCCATCGGGAGTTGTTTTATAGGCATTCGAGTTGTTCCTGTTCATACTTTTGTCTGCACTAGTGAGGGAGTGTTTTGCTCTTGTAACCCATGTCTCACTAAATTAAACTCAGCACATAAAGCTATTGAGCACTTTGGAGCGTCTTAGGGGACAGTCACCTTTGTGTGTGTGTCTCTTTGGTGAGGGCGTAGTGGTTACATTTTGGGCTGTGATCTGCAAGATTGGAAGCTGGAAACTAGTAGCCTTCTGGGCGAGTAAGACAAGGTTGTCTGCTTCTGGGCAGTTCCAGTCTTGGAAGCTCACAGGGCAGTTCTACCCTGTCCTACAGGGTTGCTGTGAGCCGAGCCGGCATCCACTAGATGACAGTTTGCTTTTTTGCTCTTTGTGGATAGATCTCCTAAGACTATCCAAAATGCTTTGTTTCTTCCTTTGATAAGCCAACTTTCTATAAAGTCAAATGTTGGAATATCTAGTTTGATTAAACCTGTTGGTGATCACAAACAAGAAATGTCACCATTGTACAATTTTTCTTTCATCAGCCGCATTTAAAGTTGTTATTCTAATCAACGTTACCATTTTCATGTTGCTGAGCTTGATGACGTAGCCTCCCACGGATTCTATGTATTTCTGTGTCATTTATGACATAGTTAAGAATAGCAGAGGAAGACAAAACTACAAGGGGGCTGAGGCTGACATCCTTAACCACGAAAGACAAAAAGACATCATTTGATGCACTTTCCCGTGGATTTGTGAGGAAATCATTGAAATGTAAACCATCGTGTGATGACCATGCTTAGCCTTTTAATATTTCTTTGTGGATGGAAAAAAGGAAACACTTATGATTCCTGTAGACATTTGCGTGTGTTTTGTCATGATCATATGTATAGTCCGTGTACTGCTGGGTGAAGGGAATTTGAACATGCTTCCCGACTTTGCCTTAAGAAAGGATTCCCATTGTCTCCAGTATGCACCCCTTCCCAACATGCACCAAGTTTTAGATGTCTGGGTCAAGTTCAGTTGTTACTTAGCTTTCACATTCACCTGTGTAGTCTTGAGACACCTGTCATTAGCCTGCATATCCAGCTTTTACAGTCCTTGGGGTAGTTGAGTTCCTTGGGTGGGGAAAATTCAAGTTCTCCCAAGAATTCCAATGTTTGTATTTAAACCTATTACCTAGCATTTTCTTAGAAGAATAGAGTAGTTCTCTTTTCTACCATTGTTCTAACCTTAGAGAAAGGTCTTAAGAGCCTACTTAATTGGTTGTTCAACCACCTCTAACCACTAGTCTAAAATGAGACCTAAGTATTACCAGCATGTTTTAATTATCTAAGGCCTTTCAGGACACAGAAATCAGGAACTCATTCATATTTCCTGACTGAGGAGCTGCTAATGAAAGCATCGATTTTCCCCAGTGCCTTTGTGATTTGTGCTTATGATTTTTTTTCTAGCTGAGGGCCCCTGGTTTTATCTTTAGATGTATCATTTCTTAGGTCTCCTCCATTTCTTTGGAATCTTTGTCTTTATTTCTCAGCCTTCATTTCCCAAGTTCCCACCTTGATAGCACAGCCTCTTATGCACATGCCTTCTCCCATCCAAAGCAATTAGAAACTTCACAGAGAAATTATTCAAAAGCCCCATCCCCAATTTTCTCAAGGCTTTCTTTGAAGCACATAGCAAAACCCCAAAGCTTAACAAAACCATTTTTTTTTGGCCAAAATCATAGCTGTTTTTATGCTCTCTATAGAAGCTGTTAGGTGGGAACTTGCATCGAGCACTAGGTCTAATCAAAGGAAAACAAACTCATTGTCATGGAGTTGATGCTGACTCATAGTGACCCTATAGGACAGGGTAGAACTGCTCCTGTGAGTTTCCAAGGCTGTGACTGTTACGATGGTAGGAAGTCCCCTCTCTCTTCCTTGAACTGCAGGTCTTAGGGATAGCAGCCCAACTGGATCCACTATGCCATTAGCCATAATCTGTACAAAGGTTAAATAAAAGTATTGAACTCAACAGAAAGAACTGGGCATGAGAAACGTGGAAAGATCAGAACTGTCATTCTGGGTTGCTAACTTTACGGTCAGCAGTTCGGACCCGTCAGCAACGCCCCTGGAGAAAGATGAGGCTTTCTGTTCTCATAAAGATTTTCAGCTTCAGAAGCCCACAGGGGCAGTTCTACTGTGTCATGCAGGGTCTCCATGAGTTAGTATCAACTCAATGGCTATTAGTTTGTTTTTGTTTGTTTGTTTAATTTTGGACTAGGTCTTAAGGGTTATGCAGAATTTGAGTCTTTTTAATAGTCTAGCTATCTAAACAGGACTCTTTGTAACTCCTGTGTTAACTACAGTGTTCTAATACATATGTGAAATGAGTTCATTTACCAGATCTCAAGCAAACATCTGCAGATTCTGAAAGCAATGTAGCACATAGATGAGCATTTAATTACAGGAACGTATGCTTGAACTTTAAGAGTTTCATATCCTGCTCCATCCAAGTCTGCAGTTAGGGGAAGAATTTTCTTTTGATGTGACTGTATTGTTTTAGATTTAACTTTGGAATCTGATTAATGACCGTGCAACCTGGGACCAGAAACCCCACTGCATTCAGGAATTCTAATCATGTTGTAATTGTTTAAAACTCATTCCAGTCACAGTTGATTATTTTCATGGAAAGTTTTTCTTCTTTCTTATTCTAGAGTTGAAAGTCATTGCAAAGAGAAGCTGAACTCTTATTCAATTGGAGCAAATCAAATATTGTGAAATACGTGTATAAATTAATATAGTAAAAGCTATTTTTTGTTTGTTTGTTTCCCCCATTTGGTACCAGACTGTTCATGATCTGGCTAATGGAGAAAATTCTGAAATCAGAAAGCAAACTGAAGGTTGTCAGAGAAGCAGGCGTATGCTGAGCAGGCTATAAAACTCAGAGAGAAATATATTTGAAATAAAACGAATTGCCATTGGAGATTTATGAAGTGTTAGGTCAGCCCTGGATCCAAAATATATCACAGTAAATAGTTATTGATTTATTAGAAGAGAAACTCTTTGTTTTTGTCTGTCCAGTGAATTGACCACATACGTCTTAAGGGTCTGTATAGCTTTTCTAGTTTCTAAGCTGCACTGGGCACTCTCCATCCTGACCATCAACGCTGTCCTTCCCTACCTCACTCACTCCATTACTCGCCCTCTCCTCCCCTGTCCACTGGGGGTGACTGTTGATCGCGAGTGATATCCCAGCAATGTTGATTCTACTGAAAAATCTCATTCACTATGAATCCAAATTGAAGTCGTTACATGTCGGATTCGGAAGTAAGATGTTGGAAGTGTAGCAAATCATTTTAATTCCTTCTAAACTTTTGACTTACACATAGGAGATTCGGTTTTGTTGCATCACCATCATATCCTTTCTCAAAAGAAAGCCTTACTACTGCCTGACTCTTCAAGGAGTCCCGCAAATGACACAGCTCACACTCTTAACATTGGAACTTGTGTGCCTGGCAGCCCTGTAATGTTGGGAAATCGACCCCCTCTCCTTACGCTTTCAGGCTGACTTAGGCATTGGATTGAAAAACAGTGGGTTATCCATGTTTGCAAAACGTCAGCACCCTGGATTGGCTCTGTCTTAATTCTCTCTGTCCTCCTAGGAACACATGCAAGCATGATACAAAGTGGGTCACCATGGTAAACCATCGGTTTGCCTCCTGGGCCATTGCATACAGTCAGGCAAATTAAAAGTTTCTGGGCAAAAGAGGGATTAAAAGGCTGAGGACATCTTTTGAGGGCCATGTGGAGAGCACTTTCATTTTGCTGTTTTGTGCCGTTATCTTGTCCTTCCTCCATTCTCTCGGATGTACCTCCGGTGCTCATGCAGCACACGTCAGATGTGCCTTGGACACTTACAGCTGTGGGGGGTGTGGTCATCTGGTCTAGACGCAGGCATGCTCTCTGTGATGCTGTTTCCCTCTGACCTCATTTTCTCCATGTTTGTGCATGTGGCCCGGCTGTAGGTAAGCAGTCTGAGCCGGGCTCCGGTTTGCTAGCCTGTCCCCCTCCCACCCCTCCCACCACCCCATCCCGGCTTCTCTGCTGTTGATGCCACCTTGCACGCTGGCTTCCTGTGCTCCGCTGCTGTATGCCAACGTAAAAAGTCTCTTGTCTCTTCTGTCTTTGTCGCTGCCAGCTGCTAATCTGAATGAGGTGGAAAAAGGTTAGTTGCCTTTTTAAGTCTGTTATGCTTTTAATTTCCGTCCCCCTCTGTCTCTTAAAGCTAAGTCGATTTCCCTGTGTGCGCGTAGTAAAAAGAGTGGGGGTGAAAAATGGCATTTGAAAGAGATCCGTCCAAGAAGTCACTCAGGCCCTTGATGGATGGATGGGCAGCTCTACCAACCACTCTGTAAGGGGCTTTGGAGAAGCGCCTTGTCAGTCCTATGGCAGAAACGAAGTGAGAGTAAGGAGTGGTTGAATGTCAAAAGGAAGGGTGGATGCATTCTCCTTTACATGTTTTCAGAACGTTCACTTAGTGAAAGATCTTATGGCTGTGCATTGTTTTAATAATAATAAAGTAGGTCATTCCCTTCTGCACCCAGGTTGCAGTACTAAGTGTTTAAGGCAGTGGGAATGCTCCCCAAGTTTACATTGAACTATTTTCAGTAATTTGAAACAAAAATTATGTTTGAAGGTGTGTACTTTATTGGGGCCTTTTTAGGAAGTAAATATCCCTCTGCCTGAAAAGGTGGATTTATAAAATCCATTTATAAAATGGATTAATAAAATTCGTATGCTAGTCCACCAGGGATCCTTGGCTGCATTCTAAGTGCCTCAAGAGCCACTTGTAATCATTGAGGCTGCTACTGCCCAGATAACCCCCTAGATACTTCCAGACCCAGGAAAGGAAGTCCTGGTGTGCTTAGGATGTTGGGGGCATGTCTAAAGGGTCATCTGGAATCACGGTGGACTTTAAACTGCAAGTGAGGCATTTTGCAATGGGAGCAGAAAGCTAGTAAGGAAATGGATTCTGTAGCAGCACCCTGTCTCCCGGCTGAGGACGTCATTTCCACTATTGCCTTCTCTGGGTGATTGGTCAGCCACTCTCCCTGTGTGCAGCATTAAACCGAAAAGTGGGGAAAAAAGAAAATGGTTTCATGTTCTAGGAAGTTTCAGAAACAAAGCAGATGAACGACCCTGTGGATTAATGCATCCAGTGCCCCCAGTGGTCCAATGCTGTCTTTCCTTTTGGCTGTACCAATGCAATTGGTGGTCTGGGGCTGGGATGTGGAAGGTCTGAGTCTGCCGGAACAACCCACCGCAATCACTCCGTCACAGGAATACGGCCTGAAAAAAATCCTTAAAGATACTCCCAGAAGCGTGCTTGCACAGTGAAGTTGCGTGTATTAAATCACTGCATGGCTCTCTGTGGGGACTATGTTTTATACTTTGGTTTAGAAAGGATGCCTTTTGCTTCCAAGAATTTGCCCCTGGCTGAATTTGTGTTTTTAAAAGCCATCAGCCAATTTCCTTTTTCTTTTCTTTATGAATCCCAAAATGACATGAGAATGTTGCCTTCCAGTTCCATCAGAGCTCCTCTGTTAGTTTTAGTTCAATGAAATGAACCTCCAAGTGAACATCTGACATACAGCTAACTCAAAAGAAGTGTGCAGTCTGAAGCAAGCCAGGCACCGACCTGTGGAAAAACAACAAAAAAGCACTCAGAACCCAACCTGTGGCCGCCTAGTCCATTCTGCCTCCTGACGGCCCATGTGTTACTCAGTAGAAATGCTCCATGGGTTTTGCTTTGTTTTTTAATTTAACTTAATGGAGACCTGGTGGACTAGCAGGTTACACACTGGGCTGCTAACCCCAAGGTCAGCAGTTTGAAACCACCAGCCACTCCACTGGAGAAAGAGGAGGCTTTCTAGTCCCATAAAGAGTTGTAGCCTCAGAAATCCACAGGGGAAGTTCTATGCTGTCTTATAGGGTCATTATGAGGCAGCATCAACTTCACAGCAGTGAGTTTGGTTAGATTCGATCTTTATAGGAGCGAATCACCAGACCTTTCCTCCACAGCCCCTCTGTGTGGATTCTGACTGCCACAAGGTTAGTCATCAAGTGCAAACTGTGCTGCCCTGCAGGGAATCTTCCATGTCTTGTAAGTAGGGGGGGGCATTGCAAAGCAATCTAATAGACTCTAATTGGAGGGGAGGGACTTCTTTGATGAAGGTAGAAGCAATCCCTTCTCACCTGCAGTGTCTACCAGACCTGGCCCCTTCTCACATTGCAATGATGATGGTGACAAACAAGCTCTTCTTTGATTCTCCCTGCTGCGGAGTCATTGCTCGCTGCCCCCAATGATCTGCCATTGGTGTTTAGAAGAATGAAGCACTGGCATAGAATTCAGGTGTAGAGAAGCAATCAGTGTTAGATACGAAAGTCCCACATTACTGTATGTGTAATTAATTAATTACTTCCCCAGTCACTATCTTCCAGTTGATCAAGCAAGTGGGATTGATGAATGAATTTGTGCAGCTGATGGGAAAATCTCCAGCCTTTATGCCTGGTACCAGGCAGAGGCCTGGGTGGTCCAAATGATTAACATGCTCAGTGACTCTCCAGAATGGTTGCAAGCTCAAGTCCACTCAGAGGCGTCTCAGAAGCGACCTCTGATGAGCAACATCATCCATGGACAAAACTCTATGAAACCCAGTTCGACACTCACACAGGTGGGGTCACCAAGAAACGGCATCAGCTGAATGGCCGCTGCTTTGGGTTGGGGCTGGCATTTGAAGGTGTAACACCTCTTTTCTGTGAAACAGAGATACAGAAATCCGCCTGATGTCCCTTGCACATTGAAGAATGACCTCAAGTAATGCAATGAATACCCCCTCCGATGTTCAGTCTCCCAGCCTCAACAAGATCGGGAACTTCTCTTTATGCCAGATTGAAGCCCCCAGGTCACTTTGATGGAGCTCAGATGATGTGTTGTCAGTCCTGGGGGCATAAAAATTCCCAATGGGAATTCAAAGAGAAAATCCTACCTAAACTAAGGACGGGTGCAAGGAGGTGAGGGTTTCTCCCCTGTGCAATACTTGTGGCTCTCATTTTCCTCTTAGTGCTCACTTCAAAGACAACAGCATGATGGAGGGATTGGTCTTTGGTTCTTTTGACTACCCCACCCCCACCCCCAACACCAACAGGGTAAGGAAACTTGGGAGTGCAGAAGAACCATGGGATTTGAAAGCCTTTGGAAGCTTGGTATGTCTCCATCAGCTTGAATGGTTTCTTAGTACCAGTACCTCGTTTCATTATGAAGCCCGCATTCATGAGTGGCCAAGTCTTTGTATCAAAATCAATATAGCCACAGTCATCCTGGAGGGCATCAGAGCAGAGAAAACCAAGTGGCCGTGCTGGCACTGCAGAGGCTGCGCCGGTAGGCTGTAGGCACTGTGTGGTCCACATTCAGGGTCCAACATGCTGAATGAAGCCCTCTCAGAGCATCTGCCTCTCTGGAAATGTGGCCAAGACTCTGCCGCCATGCCTTTTGCAGGCAGTGCTCAGAGTGTCCAGAAAATAACACTGAGCAGTTATCCCATCCTAATCTGTTTGATTTGGATTGCCTTCTTTTACAGTGGGACTCAACTCTTCTGGGCTTTCAGGCGCTGTCAGAATGAGCTCTGTGGTTTAACCTTAGTGCGTCAATGTGGGAATGCCTGAAAACAGTTCATTTGTTGGTGTTGTTCATTTCTTAGAAGAGGTGTTTTCTTTTGTTCCCCCTACCCCCTCCCCATTTAAAAAAGTTCACACATACTTTTTTGAAAACACAATGTGTGCAGATTCCAGGGCTAAGTGTCAAAGGTGACAGAAAAATCCATAACATTTGACCCTGGCCTGTTCCAAAGGCTTTGATTCTTGCTGGCAGGTTCCGTTGAGGTCAGTGATTTCAACAGCGCAAAGCCATCCTCTCACAGCCGAAGACAGCGAGAGGCCAAAGGGAGATGGTTTACTAGTTTGTACCTATGTAATGAGGAAACTCTTCCTGCATGTGAGCACTATCAAACTTTCTGCCACGTAAACATGATCAAGAATCACATTTCATTTCACTTGGGAAACAAAAATGAGAGCAATCTGAAATGCTTTTCCGTTAAAGAAGCATCTGAATCGCTTCGTCTTTCACCTGATTTCCTAAGTCTTTCCGTGAAGATCCACTTTAGGCCGTCGACAAGAGTGACTGACACAGTGCAGCAATGCCCTCGAACACGAGAGCCGTTGTGAAGAAGACGCAGTGGTGGGGGGGGGGTTGTTTAGTTGTACGCAGGGTCGCTATGTGTCAGAACAGACACAAAAGCACCTAACAACAACAAGTAGAACGTAGGATTTTATTTAATGACAGCATTCTCCTTGTTCCAGTGTCTCAATTTTCATGCTTTACGTACCGAGCGGACCGGTATCACTGGCTGATTTACTGTCTTAGGAAGCCCTAGAAAACTGCCAGACAGGATCACTATGAGTCAGAAAGAGTGGACCCTAAGAGAGTCCCTGAGTGTGTAAACAATTAAGACACGTTGCTCTCCCAGGAAGAGTTGGTATTTCTAATCCACCAATATGTGGCTCAGAAGAAAGACCTGGTGATCCGCTTCTACATAACCATAGCATAGTTCAGCACTATGAAATACATTTGGAGTCCGAAACACAAAGGGTCCCCCTGAGTTGGTGTGGTCTGACCAACTGACCTGATTTCCCTTAATGAAATCACAGCCCTTCAGATTACCTCTATTTCTCTACTACTAAGAACTGGATTGGATTATGGTTTAGGTTTATTCTGACGGTGAACTAATTGCTAAGACACATCTCAGGAAATGCACACAAAGCAAACCCACCAGGAAGATTCAGCTCCTTCAAAAAGTGAGAAACAGAAGCAGGTTGACAGTGAGTGATGGAAACCAAGACGGTGATCACCACCAACAGGATGGTCACCAGGAAGGATGCCGAAGATCCCAGTGAAGCCTGGCATAGGCCTCTGCTGCTGTGGCCAGGTGCCAGCATTATGACCGGGCACAGAGGAGATCACTGGGTCCAAGAGGGAACGAGAGAACTATGTTTATTCCAGGTTCAATTCCATCACCCTGCCATGGGATGGCTCCTCTCTTCCACACAGCCTGTTCTACATATCAGCACCCCCACCCCCACTATGTGAACAGAGACTTTCACTTTCTTTATGTGAATCAAGAGCAAATGAGAGAGGGATGATTGCTTTCATTGGAATGGGATGGAACTTTTTGCATCTGAGAAGGAGGAAACTTTCAGACTGCTTCATCTTAACACTTCTCTGATACGCCGCGTGAGTGTTGATGCTCAAATCTCCTGGATCTCCCAGCTCATCTCCTCCATTTCCTGTGCAAATAGTCATTACTGAACAGGAGAGTGCTTAGCCTGTCTGGGAGTCATTAGAGACCCTCCCAATGCAGTCCAGACACAGATCCACTGAAAGCTCTCGTCTCCTTCTCTTGCCGGTGCCATCTGGGACTCCTTTCTTATCATTTCAAAATTATTACTTAGGCAGAAACCATCCATTGAAATGTCATGTTTCACATTTTCAGACCCAGGTAATATCTAGTTTGTGCTAGCAACTTAATAGGATGGGAATACACACACACACACAGAGCCCAAATCTCACTACCATTGAGTCAAAGCCAATTCATAGTGACCCTATAGACAGGGTAGAACTGCCCCGGTGAGTTTCCTAGATTATAACTCTTTACAAAAGTAGAAAGCCCCATCTTTCTTACGTAGAGGGGCTGTTGATTTTTAACCATTGACCTTGCCAATCAAAGCCCAATACATAGCCACTATGCCACCAGGGCTCCTTGAACACACGTGTAAACACACACACACACACAATCACCGTCAAGTTCATTTGTACCGGTGGAAACTCCATGGATTACAGACCCGCAATGCTGCCTGGGACCTTGCTGGCTATCCTCTTTATACCAGGCCTTCTTCTGCACTGCTGCTGGGTGGGTTTGAACCCCCAACTCTTTGGTTCATATTAAACCAAAAGCCAAACCCACCACCACCAAGTTGCTTCCAACTCGTAATGACCATAGGACTCCACTGAGTTTCTGAGACTATGACTCTTTAAAGAAGCGCACTGGGTCCTCTTTCTCCAGTAAGGCTCCTGATGAGTTAAAACTGTGGAGTTTTGGGTTAGCAGCCCCACACTCAACCCATGAGACCACCAGGGCTCCTTTGGTTGGTAACAAAAGGCAAAGCATTTGAGCCATGCAGAGACCTACAACGGGAATGAGAGGCTTAAAACAACAAATGAATAAAGGTATTCTGCATCATTTCTTCTGAGAAATGAAATCTTACTTCGTTTTAGCCAGTGCTTCGGTTTGCTTTCTTTCTTTTTCTTTCTTTCTTTTCTTTTCTTTTTCTTTGTCCCTACTCCCATTGTGCCCCATCACAGTGAGTGAAATAGCACCATAGATTCTAGCTTCTCCTGAGCCGTTGCCAGAGTTCAACCTGCAACTGTAATGTTTGACCCTCCAACAAATTTGTGTCCTGGGGATTCTGTCAGGGATGCGATCCCTGTCCCTCCTTGGTTACAAGGCTATCTGAAAACGTCAAAGCTGGACTTCTGTTCCATTTACTCAGATTGCTGTCATCAGTCCCAACTTCATTGTGATGAATTTGAATTCTCCTTTGTCCTCAAAAAACCCCAAAGCTCATTCTGTACAATGACAAGAACAAGCTGTCACCCCAGCACCCACCCCACCAGCATCACACAGATATAATCCCCAGAATGTACTCTTGGAGATGTCTCTTCCAGAGAGAGAAGAAACTGATTCATTCACACCTCACAGATGCTGGCAACAGTTCAGAGTTCCAACAAAAGCTGTGTATCAGGATCTAGAAATGCTGGGGTTGTAGGTATACATTCAACCTGAATTTGCAGGGCTCACTTGGGGAAATTGAATAAATAGATGCATTACTTTAACCACATCCTTTCCTAGTACTATCTAAGTAAATGAGTGTTTTGAATATAAAGTGGCTTGAATTGGAAAATTCCTGAAATCCTAATCCAAGGACAAAATGACCAACTTGTTTTCGGTTACACATGTTTGGAGGACTAAATAAGCCTAGGCTGATAGGGCTGTTGATTTCTGAACTTGTTAAAAATCAAAGATGATACTTCCATGACTTCAAGTGTGCCTGACCTCAGTCAGGATGTTTTCAGTCTCCTCGACCCATGGAAAAATGGAACCATGAACTAGTAAAACAGTGTATTCAAACTATGGTGTGGCAATGACTCTAGATGATACCAGGACCTGAACCATGAACTAGTAATATATATATATTCAGTGTATTCAAACTATGGTGTGGCAATGACTCTAGATGATACCAGGCCCTGAACCATGAACCAGTAATATATATATATCCAGTGTATTCAAACTAGTGGGGCAATTACTCTAGATCATACCAGGCCCTGCCAGAAGGACAAACACTTCTGTTGTGGAGGAAGCGTGAGCAGAATGCTCTTTGGAAGCAAGGGTGGTGTTGACCCTTCGTCTCGCTTACTTGGGAAATGCCATCGAAAGAGAACAACCCCTGAAAGAGGAACAGCATGCTCGGTAAAGTAGATGGTCAGCAGGAGACAGGAAAGCCTCCACTGAGAGGGATTGACTCCGTGGCTGCAAAGATGGACTCCAGTGTCGAAGGACGGCCCAGGACCGGGCCAGAGACCTTCTCTGTTACACTGCAGACGTGAGGAGTCAGAGCCAACAAAAGGACACCGGACAACGACTTATCAGATGTGTTTCTGCGTTTGCTGCATAGAAAACAAATGAACATGATTTACAAGTAAGGTAGAGAAGAAGAACCCTGGTGGCCCAGCAGTTACGAGTGAGCCTCAAGCTTCAAGGTCCACAGTTCAAAACCACCAGTGACTCTTTGGGAGAAAGATGGTGCTCTCTACTCCTATGGACAGTTAGTCTCATAAGCTCACAGGGCAGTTCTACCCTGACCCATAGAGTTGCTGCGAGTCAGCATAGACTTGTTAACAGTGAGAGTAAAAAAAGGAAAGAACTTTGTTTACACATATGTCATATATATATATCCATATATGCACTGTATATGAATGTTTTCAGCTTGTCATATATATGTATATAGATGAAATGCCACTGAGTCAATTCTAGCTCATAGCCACTCGTAGTTCTCTAGACTTTCCGTGGCCTCCCCTTTCTTCATCCAAAAGCTGATGTTGAGTGCTCACCATGTCCTAACCAACCCAACAAGAAACCCACTTAGCCACAGATTACTGTATAATAGCTTGGTCAGCGATTTAAAAGTCTTCTTTTCTGAGAACATCTGAAAATATAATCATGTATGTGTGTACCTGAAGAAATTACTGCAGTAGCCAGACACACACACTCAACATAGGATGTGTAGAATGCAAAGCGCTTTGCTTTTAGCTTTCCTTGGTTGATGGCTGTGCCCATCACAAGCCACCTGATCATTTACACCGCAAAATGTGACTCCCCTGTCCCAGATGAGCCTTCTACGAGGGTTCTTTCCTCTGTGGTTCTGTGGAGGTAACTGAAGGAGGTTTCTGTGGAGCTGGTACAGGGATTCATACGATGTATTGTTCTCCTGGATGTGTGAGACCCTGGACACCCTGAAGAGTTGGTTTTTTTCTCCCAGACATAAAAGGATAAACACAGAATATGTCACTTACGTCAAGTTCAAAACTTGAGCCAACAGTTCTCAGGTCTTGTCTTCATTTCTCACTGCCATCAGTTGGGGTCTGCTCATAGTGACCCCATAAGACAGGATAGAACGCCTCCGTGGGTTTCAGAGATTAGCTCTTTACAGGAGGAGAAAGCCCCCATCTTTCTTCCATGGAGCAGCAGCTGGTGGTTTCAAACTGCTGACCTTGTGGATTATAGCCCAATGAGTAACATATAGACAAAATGTAAGGAATTGGTAGCAAGAAGAGGAGATGAAGGACGGTTCAGGAATGCTGGGGAACAGTGTTTCCAGATGCAAATGTTGGTGAAATAAATGTATTCAGCTTGTCAATATTAAACTGTGCACTTCATCTTGTGTATATAAAATAAAATAACATGATTAAAAACATTGAATTTCTTTTTCTTCCTTCCAATCACATGTTCCAAATGGGGCTCAGATTACACTCACAATAATATTAGTGTAGTGATAGTTTTTCCATATTATTTAAATAAACCAGGTTTGGATATGCTGATCACATTCCCTGTGTTTTTCCCCCCACCAAGCACGCCCTGCTCTAACTTCTAAGACCGTTGACACCGGCTGCTGGCAGGTGGCCTCTTAACCTCTCTCAACAAACTCATAGCCTTTGCATGTTACAGGTGAGCTTTGCGAGGAGAAGTTGGACTTCTGTGCCCAGGACCTGAACCCCTGCCAGCACGACTCCAAGTGCATCCTGATGCCGAAGGGATTCAAGTAAGTCGACTTGGGTTTGAGGCTCATGAGCAGTGAGTTGCTGCAGGTTCTAATCTAAGGAACTGATCCACCTGTCAAGCAGCTTCCTACTTTGCTGAAGATTAAAGGGACACGCTAGGGTCAGTGACATTTATAGATATTCCTATCACATCATGGCCTGTTTTTCTAATACTCTGCAGAACATAGACTGTTTGTGGTATCTTGTGTCTCTTTCTGGGGAATTCTTTATGGAATAAGCTAGCCTTGGCTGTTGTTAGCCGTCATGGAGTTGACTTCAACCTTACGAATATCAGAGGAAACCGCGCCTGGCTCTTCCACACCACCATTCTTCATGAGCTGTCTGATAACTTGCAGGACAAAGTGTCTGCTCCCTATCTAGGTTGATTCTCCTCTTACTCTGTGATCGCTGATGTCTTGGACTCTATTGTGCCATTGTACCATGCCTTCCAGTCCAGGGGCTTGTCTTCCAGCATTCTATTGGGTAGGATTCTATTGTGATTCATAAACTCTTCATTGTCCTGTTTTTAGAAGGTAGATCACTTGGCCTTTCTTTGTAGTCTGTATTAGTCTGGAAGCTCTGTTAACGTGCGTCCACCATGATTGACCCTGCTGATACTTGAAATACCAATGGCATAGCGTCCAGCATGACAGCAAATCACATCTGCTATGTTGTGACTGAGAGGTGTTGGAGCCTGTGGACATATGATTAGTTTAATTCATTTGAAGGCCAGTTAAACTAGTCATACCCTCTCAGTGTTTCATGAAGGTGAGGCTGTGATACAGAGGAGGGTTGGGTTTGCACAGAATTGAATATCTTACTGTCCAAAACAATGCTTTATTCTGCCAAAGTTGGACTACCATCATAGCAGTCATGTGTCCAGAGTGCCCAGGATGGTCCCAAGTAAGGCCTGTTGCCTCAGGGTGATTATTAATAGTGTCTTTTCACCAGAAAAATGACTCACCTGGGATGAGAAAGACTGCAGGCCAGCCAGGCATGGTTGAGCTGAGAACTTCAAAATCATTTCTGCTTCTCCTCAGCAATTATCGTGGATTCTATTAGGTGTCCCCTTCCATTACCCTTGGCACAGTCGTGACTTAATGTAAGAGTTCATGTACAGCAGTGTCTGTCTTTTAAATTGCTGGTAGTTTAAAATAATGTGATCCAAATTCTTCTGTTTCAGCCTGAGCAAACCACCTGAGCCAAACGAGTTTGGGTGGCTGTGTGCAGAACTCAGGTGGTTTATTGGCAAAGCCACAGCTAGGTTTTATACTTTCCCTTCAGAGGACTTTTCTTTTTGCTTCTCTTTTAAAAAATTTTTCAGGGGACCTTTTGAATACAGCTTGTTACCACTACACAACTCTGGTTTGTGAACCTACAGTTGGCTGCAACAGGGGGCTCAAACGTAGGAGCAATTGAGAGGAATGGACAGGACGGGTAGGGTTTTGCTCTGCTAGGAAGGGGTTGTTAAGAGTTGGAGCTGCCTGGGTGGCACCTAACAATAGCAACCGCTGCTCTAGTAGAGAAGATAGCGAGCATTACGTGGAGTGGCACCATCGCATTCAATGGTTGAGCGGAGGGGGTCATCATGAGTCAGATTTGACTCCGTGGCAGTGAGTTTGAGTTGTAGTTTTTCACCCAAGATAGATCTGGTTTTTGATTGCCAACAAAGGAGCAGGGCAGCTAGGCCTCCTTGAAGTTTTTATAGGAATTCACAACATTCGGCCACTTTCACATACTTCACTCAGTCACTTTCACATACTTCTGATGAGATGGGATGGCCTGTGTGGTCCGTTGCCATGGGGTTCTGATCATGGAAATAGCCCTTGGGTCAGCAGTAGTTGTGTAAGAGGGGATGTGACTTGGGCTGGCACCGTAAGATTGAAATCTTAGCAAAGAGATGGTTGGCCATTCTAAGTTGAGGGAAAGAGAAACTGTGTAAGCCACAAACCACCTCTTAAAAGTCAAGTGAATGATGCCTTAATTCTCAAGTTTTCCTTCAGGAAAAATAAAATTGTTTAAAAACCTACTGTTTTAGAATATAAACAGCCGTGGTAGTCCAGTGATAAGGCACTTGACTGCTATCTGAAAGTTCAATGGTTGGAACTCACCCTCTGCTCCATGGGAGTAAGACAGGGCAGTCGGCTTCAGTAAAGGTTACAGCCGGGGAACACTCCTGAAACAGTTCCTTTCTGTCCTGTAGGGTGGCTTTTGAGTCAACGCTGATTGATTACAATGGGTGTGTTTTAGAATATACAGACGTTTGACAGCAATTTCTGGTCCCATTCTATATTATAAAGAAAAAGAATATATTTGTTTCCATATTTTATTATATCTTCATTTACAGCCCTACACAAAAGCCTTTTGAAACCAATTGTATACAGAATTCTGTGTCACATTTTGTTCAGCTAGAAACTATGAAAATTCTTTTAACTCCTACTATTTTTTATCTGCCCCCAAATGAATTCTAAAAATTGAAGGTACATTGGTTATGTACAAAGTATTATCTTTGGGGCGGGGGGGAGAAAAAAATACTTCGTGGTTTTCCAGAAGTGCTTATCTGTACCCACAAAGCTTTCTGCGCTGTAATCATGAGATAATGATTAGTGATGGGGTGGAACCTAGGAAAAACTGAGCATTCCTGTGAAAAATTCCGATCCTTACTTAAATAGCTCTTAAAATGGCTAGTTTGTTTGACCATTTTTAAACATGCTTCTTATTGGACAGAGGGAAGCTGAGCTGGGAACCCCATGACTCTCCCTTACTGTTAGGAGTGTGTTTTAAGGGTATTTGTGAGTTAGCACATGAGGACACAGCGGGTGAGATTTACCTGATAGTGTGTGGGTGTGGGTGTTGATACCACATTTTCTGACAAATAGCAAGCAGATCTAGGTGGGATTTTTGTTTTATTTTTGCTTGTTTGTTTTTTCCTTGTCTTCATTTGGTTCTTGCCAATCACAAGGTATTTTCTTAGTGTGTTACGTCAACCTCTTTTCCATGTTGCTCTAAAAATGTAAAGTTAGCATCACACACATGCCCCCTCCCAAAAGCAAAGCAAAGCGTGTGCCATTTGGGGTGTAGAAATGCAATAAATGGCACGCCACAGGAAAGGGAGTTGTGAGAAGAAAAAGGACAACATGGTGAGACGTGGTTGAAGACGTTCCCTGCTGACTGGTGTTGTTTGGACACATTGTACTGTGACTTCAAATTCATTGTCTTACTGCTAAGCTAACAGCTGGTTTTCCTTTTCTTGTTTTATTATATACCTCATAAATCTCCTAAATTGCTTTAAGGCATTTTTAGGCTATGATATGCCATCAGCAGTATTCTCAAGCATGCTTCTTACTTAGTCACCATCGGGGATCTTTTATATCCGTTGCTTTCTTCACCACACCTTGTCAGATAATAGAGCTGAGGGAATGTGATGGGCCTTATTGATAATACAAACTTGAGGGAGTTCCCGAAAGACGAAATGTTGATCTTCCTGTGACTCCAAGTTCTATTGGAATGGAGAACGTGATTTGTAGCGGAGATGAGAAAGTAACTGCTAGACATTTACTGCAGTGAATGTGTGCTTCACAGGTCTTTTGCTCTGAAATCTTTTCTCAGCTAAATAATCTTTCAAAAGATTGCTCCTTTTGAGGTTTGGTACTTGCGCTACACTGCTCATATTAGCATGGCTGGAAGTCCTCTTCTCGGGTCTTAGTCATCTATTTGAGAAGGCATATATGTCCACTTAGGGTCCATTTAACTTCACACTTGGTGGCTGTGGGTGTGATGTAGCATTAAGACCAACTGGCTACAGAGCCAGCACGCGTATCCAGTGAGCTCATTTTGTTTCTTAAGCGGCATTGAAAGTCGGTTACCCCTAAAGGTACACCCTCCTATTAATTCTAATCCACCCATGCTCCTCAGGTGGCCCTTACATCCAATTCTCACTTTCCCCGGAAAGCCTTGGCCTTCAAGCATGTGGGTGTTTTAGCTGTATTCTTCCACGTATAGCTCCATGGCTGCAAAATGAAAACACAGGGAGTTAGTGCAGACTAAACCATAAAGGAGGATATAGATGTATGAAAACTTATTTTGATGGTATCTCCAGTCCCTGGAATAGGACATCATGATTGGCAAAGTGTAAAGTCAGTCCAAACTAGTCAGACCGCTGAGGAGATGGATGAACACGGGGGCTGCAGAACGTACGCAAACCTGGAAGGAGGGCGCAGGGCCAGGTGACACGGCCTCCTCCTACACCTAGGTAGGAGGTGGGTCAGAACGGGCTCCACGGCACAGAACAGCACCTGAGATTATAAGCATTGATCAATCGTAATATCTGAAACCCCACACTCAGTGTTCCACTGGTATGGTTTTCTTTGCTATTCTAAACGTGTGAGGGGGAGATGATTATGACTATAATGTATTACAGAAGAGGAAACAGAAGCTTAGATGAACTAAGTAACTTAGTCAAGATCTCATTTTCTTATGTGTAACGTACCTGATTGTAAAGCCCCAATTCTGTGGAGGGAAACCACAGCCTTCTGGCTTTATCTTTAAGTTGGTGAACCCTTTGGTAAACACAGAAATGT